GTAACAGACACACCCGGCCAGCACACAGGGGATGTAACAGACACACTCGGCCAGCACACAGGGGATGTAACAGACACACCCGGCCAGCACACAGGGGATGTAACAGACACACTCAGCCAGCACACAGGGGATGTAACAGACACACCCGGCCAGCACACAGGGGATGTAACAGACACACTCGGCCAGCACACAGGGGATGTAACAGACACACTCGGCCAGCATAAAAGGGGATGTAACAGACACACTCGGCCAGCACACAGGGGATGTAACAGACACACTTGGCCAGCACACAGGGGATGTAACAGACACACTAAGCCAGCACACAGGGGATGTAACAGACACACTTGGCCAGCACACAGGGGATGTAACAGACACACCCGGCCAGCACACAGGGGATGTAACAGACACACTCGGCCAGCACACAGGGGATGTAACAGACACACTCGGCCAGCACACAGGGGATGTAACAGACACACTTGGCCAGCACACGGGGATGTTACAGACACACTCGGCCAGCACACAGGGGATGTAACAGACACACTCAGCCAGCACACACAGGATGTAACAGACACACCCGGCCAGCACACAGGGGATGTAACAGACACACTCGGCAGCACACAGGGGATGTAACAGACACAATCGGCCAGCAAAAAGGGGATGTAACAGACACACCCGGCCAGCACACAGGGGATGTAACAGACACACTCAGCCAGCACACAGGGGATGTAACAGACACACTCAGCCAGCACACAGGGGATGTAACAGACACACTCGGCAGCACACAGGGGATGTAACAGACACACTCGGCCAGCACACAGGGGATGTTACAGACACACTTGGACAGCACACAGGGGATGTAACAGACACACTCGGCCAGCACACAGGGGATGTAACAGACACACTCAGCCAGCACACAGGGGATGTAACAGACACACTTGGCCAGCACACAGGGGATGTAACAGACACACCCGGCCAGCACACAGGGGATGTAACAGACACACTCGGCCAGCACACAGGGGATGTAACAGACACACTCGGCCAGCACACAGGGGATGTAACAGACACACTAAGCCAGCACACAGGGGATGTAACAGACACACTCGGCCAGCACACAGGGGATGTAACAGACACACTCAGCCAGCACACACAGGATGTAACAGACACACCCGGCCAGCACACAGGGGATGTAACAGACACACTCGGCAGCACACAGGGGATGTAACAGACACAATCGGCCAGCACAAAGGGGATGTAACAGACACACCCGGCCAGCACACAGGGGATGTAACAGACACACTCAGCCAGCACACAGGGGATGTAACAGACACACCCGGCCAGCATACAGGGGATGTAACAGACACACTCGGCAGCACACAGGGGATGTAACAGACACACTCGGCCAGCACACGGGGATGTTACAGACACACTTGGACAGCACACAGGGGATGTAACAGACACACTCGGCCAGCACACAGGGGATGTAACAGACACACTCAGCCAGCACACAGGGGATGTAACAGACACACTTGGCCAGCACACAGGGGATGTAACAGACACACCCGGCCAGCACACAGGGGATGTAACAGACACACTCGGCCAGCACATAGGGGATGTAACAGACACACCCGGCCAGCACACAGGGGATGTAACAGACACACTCGGCCAGCACACAGGGGATGTAACAGACACACCCGGCCAGCACACAGGGGATGTAACAGACACACTCTCGGCCAGCACACAGGGGATGTAACAGACACACTCGGCCAGCACAAAGGGGATGTAACAGACACACTCGGCCAGCACACAGGGGATGTAACAGACACACTTGGCCAGCACACAGGGGATGTAACAGACACACTAAGTCAGCACACGGGGGATGTAACAGACACACTTGGCCAGCACACAGGGGATGTAACAGACACACCCGGCCAGCACACGGGGGATGTAACAGACACACTCGGCCAGCACACAGGGGATGTAACAGACACACTCAACCAGCACACGGGGATGTTACAGACACACTCGGCCAGCACAAAGGGGATGTAACAGACACACTAAGCCAGCACACAGGGGATGTAACAGACACACTCGGCCTGCACACAGGGGATGTAACAGACACACTCGGCCAGCACACAGGGGATGTAACAGACACACTCGGCCAGCACACAGGGGATGTAACAGACACACTCGGCCAGCACACAGGGGATGTAACAGACACACTCGGCCAGCACACAGGGGATGTAACAGACACACCCGGCCAGCACACAGGGGATGTAACAGACACACCTGGCCAGCACACAGGGGATGTAACAGACACACTCGGCCAGCACACAGGGGATGTAACAGACACACTCGGCCAGCACACAGGGGATGTAACAGACACACTTGGCCAGCACACAGGGGATGTAACAGACACACTCGGCCAGCACACAGGGGATGTAACAGACACACTCGGCCAGCACACAGGGGATGTAACAGACACACTCGGCCAGCACACAGGGGATGTAACAGACACACTCGGCCAGCACACAGGGGATGTAACAGACACACTCGGCCAGCACACAGGGGATGTAACAGACACAATCAGCCAGCATACAGGGGATGTAACAGACACATGCCGGCCAGCACACAGGGGATGTAACAGACACACTTGGCCAGCACACAGGGGATGTAACAGACACACTCGGCCAGCACACAGGGGATGTAACAGACACACTTGGCCAGCACACAGGGGATGTAACAGACACACTCAGCCAGCACACAGGGGATGTAACAGACACACTCGGCCAGCACACAGGGGATGTAACAGACACACTCGGCCAGCACACAGGGGATGTAACAGACACACTAAGCCAGCACACAGGGGATGTAACAGACACACTCGGCCAGCACACAGGGGATGTAACAGACACACTCAGCCAGCACACACAGGATGTAACAGACACACCCGGCCAGCACACAGGGGATGTAACAGACACACTCGGCAGCACACAGGGGATGTAACAGACACAATCGGCCAGCACAAAGGGGATGTAACAGACACACCCGGCCAGCACACAGGGGATGTAACAGACACACTCAGCCAGCACACAGGGGATGTAACAGACACACCCGGCCAGCATACAGGGGATGTAACAGACACACTCGGCAGCACACAGGGGATGTAACAGACACACTCGGCCAGCACACGGGGATGTTACAGACACACTTGGACAGCACACAGGGGATGTAACAGACACACTCGGCCAGCACACAGGGGATGTAACAGACACACTCAGCCAGCACACAGGGGATGTAACAGACACACTTGGCCAGCACACAGGGGATGTAACAGACACACCCGGCCAGCACACAGGGGATGTAACAGACACACTCGGCCAGCACATAGGGGATGTAACAGACACACCCGGCCAGCACACAGGGGATGTAACAGACACACTCGGCCAGCACACAGGGGATGTAACAGACACACCCGGCCAGCACACAGGGGATGTAACAGACACACTCTCGGCCAGCACACAGGGGATGTAACAGACACACTCGGCCAGCACAAAGGGGATGTAACAGACACACTCGGCCAGCACACAGGGGATGTAACAGACACACTTGGCCAGCACACAGGGGATGTAACAGACACACTAAGTCAGCACACGGGGGATGTAACAGACACACTTGGCCAGCACACAGGGGATGTAACAGACACACCCGGCCAGCACACGGGGGATGTAACAGACACACTCGGCCAGCACACAGGGGATGTAACAGACACACTTAACCAGCACACGGGGATGTTACAGACACAATCGGCCAGCACAAAGGGGATGTAACAGACACACTAAGCCAGCACACAGGGGATGTAACAGACACACTCGGCCTGCACACAGGGGATGTAACAGACACACTCGGCCAGCACACAGGGGATGTAACAGACACACTCGGCCAGCACACAGGGGATGTAACAGACACACTCGGCCAGCACACAGGGGATGTAACAGACACACTCGGCCAGCACACAGGGGATGTAACAGACACACCCGGCCAGCACACAGGGGATGTAACAGACACACCTGGCCAGCACACAGGGGATGTAACAGACACACTCGGCCAGCACACAGGGGATGTAACAGACACACTCGGCCAGCACACAGGGGATGTAACAGACACACTTGGCCAGCACACAGGGGATGTAACAGACACACTCGGCCAGCACACAGGGGATGTAACAGACACACTCGGCCAGCACACAGGGGATGTAACAGACACACTCGGCCAGCACACAGGGGATGTAACAGACACACTCGGCCAGCACACAGGGGATGTAACAGACACACTCGGCCAGCACACAGGGGATGTAACAGACACAATCAGCCAGCATACAGGGGATGTAACAGACACATGCCGGCCAGCACACAGGGGATGTAACAGACACACTTGGCCAGCACACAGGGGATGTAACAGACACACTCGGCCAGCACACAGGGGATGTTACAGACACACTCGGCCAGCACACAGGGGATGTAACAGACACACCTGGCCAGCACACAGGGGATGTAACAGACACACTAAGCCAGCACACAGGGGATGTAACAGACACACTCGGCCAGCACACAGGGGATGTAACAGACACACTTGGCCAGCACACAGGGGATGTAACAGACACACTTGGCCAGCACACAGGGGATGTAACAGACACACTCGGCCAGCACACAGGGGATGTAACAGACACACTAAGCCAGCAGACAGGGGATGTAACAGACACACTCGGCCAGCACACAGGGGATGTAACAGACACACCCGGCCAGCACACAGGGGATGTAACAGACACACTCGGCCAGCACACAGGGGATGTAACAGACACACCCGGCCAGCACACAGGGGATGTAACAGACACACTCGGCCAGCACACAGGGATGTAACAGACATACTCGGCCAGCACACGGGATATAACAGACACACCCGGCCAGCACACACAGGTTATTTTAGGGGAATTATACTCTTACCTTCCTCTGCACCTCCCATGGTTTGGCAATGGCTGCAACATCTGAGGCAGTCATCATCATTGACCTGAAGCACACAAAACCTGTACTGTAAACTCAATGATTTAGAATACAGTACAGACACTACAGATGTGTAGAACAACATAACTTTTTTTCTGGTGTACAATGTTAATGTTCAGGGTTGGGAAACAATTTGCCCCATTTGAAACAGCTAGTCTATCTAAATCTAAGCTTCTAGCATTGGGCCAGTTAGTGATACTTGCTACCAACAGTACCACAGTACCACAGTATGCTATATGGTGCAGTCACTGAAAGACATAACAACACAGGACATACCTGAGTAAATCTCTATGCCCATCATTGTTCCAGTCAGCTTTGTCAGTCTTCACCAGCTCAAAGAATTGTCCGCGATACCTGAAGAGTGATAGGTATAGGTGTATATATATATATATATATATATATAGCTTAAGAAAATGCAAAGTGTTATATTGCGGTACATGGTCACAACTCAGGTGAAGCTAAAACACAGTGGTTGCAAAGAGCAGGTGGAGGGGTGACTGGATTCAGCAAGCTTGACTACTGAGGATTTCTCGGGCTTTGGCCATGTCATTGAGGAACAGGTTACACATGGTGTTTCATTAGATAAGTCATTTGTCTGACATATGCCTCTGTTCACCCAGCAATGAATGGGTAGGATGAGACGGTAATGTGAATGCTAACCTTCTGGCGCCTTAATAGGCAGCTTCAGCTGTACACTCACCAGGAAGCTGAGAATGAGAATCCATTGATAGGGTAAAATTGTGCAGCAGCATCAGCATGCTTTAGGTAATGAATATGTCACAGATAAATATGTAATAAAAACACTGTTTATTACATGTGAACACAATAATTTATATGCATTTCATATGTCTATATTATAGTAGTACATGAAATAAAGTGCAAGTTCTCTTCACCTACCTGAATTAAGGAGGCATGCTGCTTACCTGAAGTAAAGAGCCAGGTCTGTTGATAGTATAGCACTCTCCAACATCTGAAGGATTTCTTCATACTCATTTTGTGATACATTACACAGAATATCATTACCCTGAAACAGAGAAACACTGGATGGTAAACAGGTAATGACTTACAAAATCTGAAGCACTGATCTGACAGCACACATACTCAACAGTATTCACATCACACAAACACTTATTCTATTCTCAAATAGTACTTTACAAAAGTACCTTAACAAAAATCAGTTATCATCTTCACCAGTTTATTCATCTATATCTCGTATATAGCAGATTTGTGGCAAGGAAAAAAATCTGCATTTCATGGTACATTCAACACAATACTTCTGCAAACTGTATTGCGACAAAGAACATTCCCCCCATAACAGAATAGCTACACAGCATATTCCCCAACTACTGTATTGCTACACTGTATATTCCCCCCACAACTGTATTGCTACACTTTATATTCCCCCCACAACTGTATTGCTACACTGTATATTCCCCCGACAACTGAATTGCTACACTGTATATTCCCCCCACAACTGTATTGCTACACAGTATATTCCCCCTATATTGTATTGCTACACTGTGTATTCCCCCACCTGTATTGCTACACTGAATATTCCCCCAAAACTGTATTGCTACACTGTATATTTCCCCTATATTGTATTGCTACACTGTATATTCCCCCACTACTGTATTGCTTCACAGCATATTGGCCCACTTCTGTATTGCTACACTGTATGTTCCCCCACTACTGCATTGCTACACTGTATATTCCCTCACAACTGTATCGCTACACTGTATATTCCACTATCCCCCAACAACTGTTTTGCTACACTGTATATTCCCCCCACTACTGTATTGCTACACTGTATATTCCCCCTATATTGTATTGCTACACAGCATATTCGCCCGCTACTGTAAGGCTACACTGTATATTCCACCCCACTACTGTATTGCTACACTGTATATTCCACCCACAACTGAATTGCTACACTGTATATTACCCCCACAACTGAATTGCTACAATGTATATTCCCCCGACAACTGAATTGCTACACTGTATATTCCCCCTATTTTGTATTGCTACACAGCATATTCGCCCACTACTGTATTGCTACACAGCACTTTCTCCTCACTTCTGTATCACTACACTGTATATTCCCCAACTACTGCATTGCTACACTGTATATTCCCCCAACTACTGTATTGCTACACTGTATATTCCCCCCACAACTGAATTGCTACACTGTATATTCCCCCCACAACTGAATTGCTACACTGTATATTCCCCCTATTTTGTATTGCTACACAGCATATTCGCCCACTACTGTATTGCTACACAGCACATTCTCCCAACTTCTGTATCGCTACACTGTATATTCCCCAACTACTGCATTGCTACACTGTATATTCCCCCACTACTGTATTGCTACACTGTATATTCCCCCACTACTGTATTGCTACACTGTATATTCCCCCACTACTGTATTGCTACACTGTATGTTCCTCCCACAATTGTATTGCTACACTGTTTATTCCCCCTATTTTTCATAGCTACACAGCATATTCGCCTACTACTGTATTGCTAGACAGCATATTCTCCCCATTTCTGTATCCCTACACTGTATATTCCCCAACTACTGTATTGCTACACTGTATATTCCCCCCACAACTGTATAGCTACACTGTATACCGTATTTTCTTGAGTATAGTGCGCACTTTTTTTCGAAAAAACACAGCTGTGTAGAAGGGGGTGCGCATTATACACGAATTATGAGTTTGGATGTTTTTTTCCCCCATGGAAAGACATTACCGTGAGCACGAAACACCGGGAATACCATGTCAACAAATCCGTACTGAAGTACGCAAAATAATTATGTAATTACACTGTCTGGCTATAAAAAGTGTTCTTTCTATATCTGGACTTATGTTTGTAACTTATTTCATTGATTTTATTCAAAATTCCTTATAATATTGTTTTTATTAATTTCGGCGAAATCGTGTGTGAAGCGAACGGAAGATCGCACAACTCACCGTTATTAACAGCAACCACGGTCAGAATACCGCTATTGACGCCTTGAAACAAACTTTAGTTGACAGAGAATGGATACATATATCATAAATGACATACTTTGACTCGTTAAAAGTCATATTTGTTTTGGTTTGACGATTCTATGTCAACATGAAATTCTCGCGATCACGTGATCACGTGCGCGTGAGCCTTGACGGTGACTGGTGAGACATGTTCCATGTAAAAAATAATACCCGGGAATAGCGATCAGCTGCTTCGCTTAGGGTTATTATTATTTTAAATATGTTTAGTAAAGGTTGCATATAATTAAGAAAATAATGGAATATATTATTCCTGATAAATAAAATAGTTTCAGATACAATTGTTGCCGATCCTTGGATTAAAAATCTTATAAAGTTATATCATTGGGTGTGTCTTGACCGAATCACCGGTCGATTCCAAGAAAACGTGTGTACAGCTGATTGCTGTTTCCAGCTTAGTTTACGAGAAAATACGCAAGGTAATCTTAATCCCTAAATATAAAACAATGCCTAGCAGAACAACAAATACTATTTAAACGGTAAATAAACATGTCTGGTGATTTTTTATCTCAAATTTCGAATTTGTACTGACGAAGTTTCTCAGCACCCGTTCGTTTGCCGGACTTCGCTGAAAGGGTACGGTGTAAAAAATTTCTGCGCATAATATTCAAATTTCTTTTTTTTCCAAAATATTGAACCCGCTAGAGGGGGGTGCGCATTATACATGGGTGCGCACTATACTCAAGAAAATATGGTATTCCCCCCACAACTGTATTGCTACACTGTATATTACCCCACTACTATATTGCTACATTGTATATTCCCCCACAACTGTATTGCTACACTGTATGTTCCTCAAATACTGTATTGCTACACCGTACATTCCCCCACTACTGTATTGCTACACTGTATATTCCCCCACTACTGTATTGCTGCACATTACATTCCTCCCACAACTGTATTGCTACACTGTATATTCCCCCACTCCTGTAACGCTACACTGTATATTCCCCCACTACTGTATTGCTACACTGTATGTTCCTCCACTACTGTATTGCTACACTGTATGTTCCTCCACTACTGTATTGCTACACTGTATATTCCTCCACTACTGTATTGCTACACAGTATATTCCTCCCACAACTGTATTGCTACACTGTATATTCCCCCACTCCTGTAACGCTACACTGTATATTCCCCCACTACTGTATTGCTACACTGTATGTTCCTCCACTACTGTATTGCTACACTGTATGTTCCTCCACTACTGTATTGCTACACTGTATATTCCTCCACTACTGTATTGCTACACAGTATATTCCTCCCACAACTGTATTGCTACACTGTATATGCCCCCACTCCTGTAACGCTACACTGTATATTCCCCCACTACTGTATTGCTACACTGTATATTCCCCCACTACTGTATTGCTACCCTGTACATTCCCCCACTACTGTATTGTTACACTGTATATTCCCCTACTAGTGTATTGCTACACAGTACATTCCCCCACCACTACTGTATTGTTACACTGTTTATTCCCCCACTACTGTATTGCTACACAGTACATTCCCCCACCACTACTGTATTGTTACACTGTATATTCCCCCACTACTGTATTTTACACTGTATATTCCCCCACTACTGTATTGCTACACTGTATGTTCCTCCACTACTGTATTGCTACACAGTACATTCCCCCACCACTAATGTATTGCTACACTGTATATTCCCCCACCACTACTGTATTGCTACACTGTATATTCCCCCACTACTGTATTCCTACACAGTACATTCCCCCACCACTATTGTATTGTTACACTGTATATTCCCCCACTTCTGTATTGCTACACTGTATACCCCCCCCTCCCACTGTATTGCTACAAAGTACATTCCCCCACAACTGTATTCCCCCACACATCAAGATAAGTTATATAATCAAGATATTTTATGACAGTGCCAATAACTTATTAAACTCCGAACAATAAATTGGAGGTTTAGGTCACTGTACGTAAGTAACAGGCAATAAAGGCACTCAACAACATGCCTTCCATCTATGTGAGATGTTCATGTGTGAAGACATGTTGTGTGTTACCTTTGTTGTAAGAATCATGATGCACTGATCAAAGTGATGGTGCTCCAGGGTTGAGGTAGTGTACAGTTCCGCCAGAGGTGTGTTCACTCTGCAATACAGCCAACAATTCAAATCACAATTCCTCTTGTCACTAAATATCGTGGCATGGCGTGGCGTGACGTGGCAACGAGTAGTGTTGTGTGGGTGTGGGTGTGGGTGTGGTGTGAACTTGTGTTTTGTGGTGTCTCCATCACGGGTGGACAGAGAGTGTCTGTATGTACCATATGTTCCAGTTCCCTTCATAGTGCAGACACCTGCCCATGCCGTCAAACCAGTTCAGACAGACAAGGATGTCAGTCAGACGGGATGCACATGGTCACCCAGTGGTGCACCATGGAGGTCAGGAAATTTACAATAAATTTAATGGTGACAACGGCTGTTCCTGGCCTCAGTGGCTGTTCGCACATGTGTGGGGGAGGTTGTCATGCTCAAGTGGAGTGCAAGGGCAAGCGTGGTGTTGACCTTAATATTGTACCTTCACCTATAAACGTTAAAGCTTTGTTCCAAATGCTACATGAACATCCGGACCGTGGTTTTGTAGACACTCTTGTTGACGGATTCATATTTGGATTAACGACAGGCATTGAAACTATTCTGTCTAAAACAGTGGTGTGCAACAACAACAAGACGGCTAGAAACGATCCAGAGGTTGTCAGTGTATTGCTCAAAGCTGAGTGCGTCAAACATTAAGCCATTGGGCTGTTCAACATGTCGCTGTTTACACCTTTCAGAATCAACCCTCTAGAAATCGCAGAAAGTAAATGCTTTCAAAAGAAAAGACTCATTGTCGATCTGTCTGCATCGCACAACGACGAAGAAAGCAGTATCAACAGCTTGATCGATAAGGTTCTCTATGTCATATGTTAAACTGGACGATGCAATTGACCTTATTCAGCAATTAGGTGTGAACTCTTGGATGTGTAAATTTGACCCTGAGAATGCCTTTGAGCAAGTACCCATTCATCCTTCTTTATGGCATTTACATGACGTGCAGTGGGAAAATGAGATGTAGCTCTTCACACATTAAGTTTTCGGGTGTAGATCTAGCCCTAAGATATTTCACCTTTGGCTTACTTACCGTCCCGTTATTGGATGGGCCAGTAATGGGCAGCCCTATCTGCCTGGCTTACGGCACTCAGGTCTTCCAAAACTGAATAGTGCGTTACTAAAATCATCGGTTATTAAGTAAGGGGGGCTTCGCCCTTGACATTGAATGGGCTAGCAATGGGCACCTCATTGGCCTGGCATACCTAGCCTACTCCAGCCTTATTTGCCATAATCATATCAGTAGAATAGATGTATGTACCTTGTTAATATTTCAATTTATATGAAGTCTACCCATCACAAGCATTTGGGGTGCAACGGCCAGTATGACTGCCTACAGCTTCAGTCAATGATAGATGTAGGCATTGCACCTCCAATTTGCCATCCTTAATAAATCACATTATTTTAAACCCATCTTAATTGTTTTTGTGGGCATAAAGACAACTATGTAGAAGCCATACCTCCAATGATGATGGGTAATGCAGAGAGTAAACACCGGGAATGTGGGTCCTTGGCTATCATAGCATTGCTGCACCCAAGCCAGGCTAGCAATGAGGCTGAGTCCAAGCTCCCCACATACTTTACCTAATCTTACCTAGGCGTACCCAGATGAGAAGTAATTTGTCTTTTTGAAATTTAGAAATTAGCTAAAAAACACAAAATTGTGAGCAAATATAGACTAAAAAATTTGAACTTGCACACAGAGGAAAGAAGTGATGATTCACACTGTGTGCAAAGGCTTCTGCATGAGGTATGGTTTACCTAACAACTGGTTAGGATGGCTGACAGTGAAATGGATCTGCTGAAAATCTAGAGATATGGGTATGATGTTAGCCAAATTGCAGGTATTATGGCTATGACATAACAATGTTAGGGTATTCGAAGGAATTATATACAACTTATTCATACCCTGACTATAATTTAAGATATATACAACATACTCATACCATGACTATAATCAAGATACATACAACTTATTCATACCATGACAATAATCAAGACATATACAACTATGTGGATATACAAACAAAATCATACTTAAGCTGAAACTGGTTGTTTGTCCCTCGATGATCAAGGTCATGACAAAGACATCCAACCATCAATGCCAAGCGTTCTGACTCTGTCAACACATTGTCCATTCCACCTAGCTGCAACATAGACCATCAGTAAGAAGTCATAAACCTCAGAAATGTCAGTTCAGCAGAATGGAGAGTGTATGAAACTTGCACAATCAGTACAATGTGTGTGAATGGTAACTCACCTTTAGCATGCTGAACATTGTTTGAGCTACATTGAACGCATGTCGCCAGTTGTGATATGTAACATTTCGGTAGTTTTTCTTCACACTCAGTAGCCACCGACAGAGGATCTGGGGGGCACAATAAAGGAAGGGAAGATCATCCCATATGACAGGCCAAACAGTTCCATAATCTAAGCTAAAAATGACAAAAATACACACCAGAAACCAAGAGTTCTATAATGCATAAAGCTGAAAAGCCTGAAGTACATGGTGAGTAACTGTTTTGTCAGTTTATGAAAGAAGAAAGAGTGTACTTCCATTGCTGATTGATGGAGACAGCTCACCTCATAGTTAATGCTGAAGACGTCCAAGAGCTCCAGGTCTGTGAACATTCTGATGGTGGCTTTGAGCGTGTCATCATCATCCAGCAGAAAATCATTGAACTTATAGTCCAGCAAGTTATAATGGGTTGAAGATGGAATGGACAGTTTCTGAAATGATAGCATGTTATTTCATATCAGCTGGAATATTGCCAAAAAGAACACATTGGGTTGACAGTTACCTGTGTGTCACTGTTTTCCAGTGCAACTAGGACCAAACTCATTATTCTAGGACCAAACAAATAATTAGCTTCCATAGGCTGCTTGTGCACACTTCAAATAAATGTAACTGAAGCCAGTAGCCCGAAAGCCTTGACAGGATTGTAGCCATTGGGAGCTGAACACTAATCTTTTACCCATGTTCACATACCAACATCAGTTGCACAAAATTTATCAAAAGGAATTCTCATACCAATTTGATTTGCTTGTAAGCAAACAACCCTTATTCACGGGGCACTAACAATATGAAATTTGGTTAAAATGCATGAATTTGTTGGTACCTAACATTACTGACACCCACCCTGAGTCTGTGAGCTTCTTCCATGGGAGCAATGGCATGGTAGGACAACACTTCCAGAGCCACCCTTTGTTTGGCCATTGCTCGTAGTGCTGTCTCATACATCTGTGTGTTGTTAATACCCATGCCACAGAAGATAGAGAATGCCTAAAATAGATAACATATCATTTGTGTGTCAGGTGGCGTGTGTTGTAGGTACAGACAGAGACCATATAATAGAGGGACGGCCCTCTAGCCTATGCGCGAAACCATCAGTGCTACGGCTTGTACTGCGCAGCCTGTCCGGAAGCGAGCAGAAACGCGTTAACTGCAGTCATCGCTGTCGCCTTTTTTTCCCATGCAAAAGATATATTTTACAAAACAAAATTACACTCATGTATTTCTTAACATTGTTAACATTACAACTGAGATTTGTTGGTGCCCTAAAGCATGTCGTTGTCACTGTATTTGATGACTGTGATCACGCTTTGTCTTTGTCCGAGAGAACAAAATGGCGCACATGTAAAATCGGCAAAAGTGCAGATTTTGATTTTCAATAACGGCCTCTAATTCGCAATGAAAGTCCTTGGTTACCAAGGTGTATAAAAAGGATATATGTTAAAAATTGGCTTAGTGCCATTTACAAATTTAGGGCGGATGCGATATTTCAGATTTTGACTCCAGAAATGGGACTAAATCTGACTTTTCCCGAAATAATTACACCACAACTCTTAATTTCCGCATGCTTTCAGACGAATGTGTTCCTATCATCGGTCCTGAATTAAATAGTTTTACATTCATCACGATTTCCCCTTTGGCTTGGTACCAAAGTTATTTAGGTACGATCGGTAGTTTTTTTTGTATGATTTTTGGCGCAAGGCCATATTTTACGTCACATATTTTAAATTAAATTACCATATATAGCAGACGAAATAACATGCATTTTGTCTGTGATTATCATCCGCATATATCTTTTGAAACATTATACAAAGTGACATATTGTATGATATTAGAATTGTTTTTGTAAGACACGTATTTTTTTTACCTTTGCTTTCGCCATTTCTTCGTAAGTTTAACTTTGTTTCAGTTAGGCTTCTATCACATATCGCGCATATACTATATACTACAATACTACATATTTGTTATCTTCTGAAGATTTTGTCTGTATTAATCATGACTACATTTAATCAATTATTTATTTTATGCCGTGTAAATATTGATTATGAGCAAAATGATCTTGGCCTAAACCCAATCATAATAATGTAAATATGATGAAGGTACTACTTACTTTGTGTATTTACACAACAATAAAAACATCATACAAAAATAAAAATCCGTTACATGAAATATTTGTATTATAAAATTATCATTTGCTTTGTAAATGCCAAGAAAAAAGAAGGATTATATCGGCAGTCGTCGGGAGAGAAGTTCCAGACAACAAGGTCGAAGGTGTCAAACTTATCTCGCTCCGGCAAACCCTATTATCACTGCTAGCCCCAAACTGGCATTAACCAATAACATTTGATTCTTTCGAAGCCCATTGTCAGACACATCGAAAATTCATTTAACAACGCTCGTAGTTTAATGTGTATTTTTAATTCATTGGAATTATTAGCATTATAAAATAGTAGCGAATTTACATGAAATAAAAACATTAATATGGCGTCATTTTTTTTCTGGCTAATAGTAAAGCATTTACACCAGTTGGTGATCATGCATTTTTGCAAGTAAATCTAGTCTGGACTTAATATAAGATATGAAGTTAATCTGGAGATATATTTTGTGAACATCGGGAATAGGGTGATATGTTACAAGTGTCTTCCCTGCTTCTGAATGAGTTTTATTTACACTTCCTGAGTTCCTGTGCAATTTACCGGATCGTAGTTTTCTGTGGCGTTCGTAGTAGATTTGGTATATTTGTTTATTTATAATAGTTAACAATTGCAGCATAAAATGAGATATGTAAATTGAAATAAATGTCCTGGAAGACACACATGTTCAGCAAATAATTTGCAGCCAACTGACATGTGCTAATGAGAGATATCATACAAAAATCTTTGTAATCCGCTAAGAGACGTCCTTTTATTGGATTGTCGCTGGTCGTAGTCGGAGAAATCTCGGCTAAGGGAATTAACTCTTACCCCGGATATTATGTAATATTGTTTACGTGGTTACCAGAATGGTCAGTCGTGAATGTCTGCGCATCTATTGCGCATCTGCAGCGGTACAGGGAGGTTAACAGCAGGGTGTCGGGGTGTATCAGTTACATGCCAGACCGTAGCGCTGATGGTTAGTGATAAACTGTTGGTGAGGGCCGTCCCTCTATTATATGGTCTCTGGTACAGATAATGATTCAGTGTGTCAGGTGGCGTGTGTTGTAGGTACAGATAATGATTCAGTGTGTCAGGTGGCGTGTGTTGTAGGTACAGCTAATGATTCAGTGTGTCAGGTGGTGTGTGTTGTAGGTACAGCTAATGATTCAGTGTGTCAGGTGGTATGTGTTGGAGGTAGAGATAATGATTCAGTGCGTCAGGTGGTGTGTGTTGTAGGTACAGCTAATGATTCAGTGTGTCAGGTGGCGTGTGTTGTAGGTACAGCTAATGATTCAGTGTGTCAGGTGGTGTGTGTTGTAGGTACAGATAATGATTCAGTGTGTCAGGTGGCGTGTGTTGTAGGTACAGATAATGATTCAGTGTGTCAGGTGGCGTGTGTTGTAGGTACAGATAATGATTCAGTGTGTCAGGTGGCGTGTGTTGTAGGTACAGATAATGATTCAGTGTGTCAGGTGGTATGTGTTGGAGGTAGAGATAATGATTCAGTGTGTCAGGTGGTGTGTGTTGTAGGTACAGATAATGATTCAGTGTGTCAGGTGGTATGTGTTGGAGGTAGAGATAATGATTCAGTGTGTCAGGTGGTGTGTGTTGTAGGTACAGATAATGATTCAGTGTGTCATGTGGCGTGTGTTGTAGGTACAGCTAATGATTCAGTGTGTCAGGTGGTGTGTGTTGTAGGTACAGATAATGATTCAGTGTGTCAGGTGGCGTGTGTTGTAGGTACAGATAATGATTCAGTGTGTCAGGTGGTGTGTGTTGTAGGTACAGATAATGATTCAGTGTGTCAGGTGGTGTATGTTGTAGGTACAGATAATGATTCAGTGTGTCATGTGGTGTGTGTTGTAGGTACAGATAATGATTCAGTGTGTCATGTGGTGTGTGTTTTAGGTACAGATAATGATTCAGTGTGTCAGGTGGTGTATGTTGTAGCAGAGACCATATAACAGAGGGACGGCCCTCCCCAACAGTTTATCATAAACCATCAGCGCTACAGTCTGGCATGTAACTGATACACCCCGACACCCTGCTTTTAACCTCCCTGTACCGCTGCAGATGCGCAATAGATGCGCAGACATTCACGACTGACCATTCTGGTAACCACGTAAACAATATTACATAATATCCGGGGTAAGAGTTAATTCCCTTATCCGAGATTTCTCCGACTACGACCAGCGACAATCCAATAAAAGGACGTATCTTAGCGGATTACAAAGACTTTTTTATGATATGTCTCATTAGCACATGTCAGTTGGCTGCAAATTATTTGCTGAACATGTGTGCCTTCCGGGACATTTATTTCAATTTACATTCGCCACAGCCATGGACGACTTCATTCACTTGGACGATTTCGTTTTGGACCTAGATATGCCACTTGAAGAATTCCCTCTCTTCGACCAGGGGTTGGTTTCGGATGAATCTTGGTCTAAATAGAATGACAGTGATGTTACCGCTACCAAGCCATTGGTAATACCTCCCAAAAAGTTTCACTCAAAGAAAAAGATAGGAAATGAAAATATGACGTCTGTCCACAAGCGTAAGTTTTCGAGGGCGTGTGAAGAAAACGCTGTTCCGATATCAAAAGTATTTTATAACGTATTTAAAAATCAGTTAATATATCTCATTTTATGCTGCAATTGTTAACTATTATAAATAAACAAATATACCAAATCTACTACGAACGCCACAGAAAACTACGATCCGGTAAATTGCACAGGAACTCAGGAAGTGTAAATAAAACTCATCCAGAAGCAGGGAAGACACTTGTAACAAATCACCATATTCCCGATGTTCACAAAATATATCTCCAGATTAACTTCATATCTTATAATAAGTCCAGACTAGATTTACTTGCAAAAATGCATGATCACCGACTGGTGTAAATGCTTTACTATTAGCCAGAAAAAAAATGACGCCATATTAATGTTTTTATTTCATGTAAATTCGCTACTATTTTATAATGCTAATAGTTTCAATGAATTAGAAATACACATTAAACTACGAGCGTTGTTAAATGAATTTTCGATGTGTCCGACACTGGGCTTCGAAAGAATCAAATGTTATTGGTTAATGCCAGTTTGGGGCTAGCAGTGATAATGGGGTTTGCCGGAGCGAGGTAAGTTTTTTTTCAAAGGGAGGCTACTGTTAAATTCCAAAGCAATCGATATTACCCGATTAGATTGATATTTCAGCATACAAATAATTAGGTATTTCAGGTATAACAATATAGCTTCAACGAGCATGGTACCAGATATGTACTAGTATATCGTAAACTGTAGTAACGTTTGTTGTTTTCAAAATTCTTTCATCATAGTTTTCTATATCTGATCACTGAAAAACAAACTTTAAACTCTAACCTGGAACGAAGCATGCAACTATTACTATTAAAACAAAACAAAACATCACAAACTCTGACATCTGTAAATGTATTTTTCACAGAAAAGGGCAATAGACCATTTATATATTTTACTGAATGACACCTTCGACCTTGTCTGGAACTTCTCTCCCGACGACTGCCGATATAATCCTTCTTCTTTCTTGGCATTTACAAAGCAAATGATAATTTTATTATACAAATATTTCATGTAACGGATTTTAATTTTTGAATGCTGTTGTCATTGTTGTGTAAATACACAAAGTAAGTAGTACCTTCATCATATTTACATTATTATGATTGGGTTTAGGCCAATATCATTTTGCTCATAATCAATATTTACACGGCATAAAATGAATAATTGATTAAATGTAGTCATGATTTATACAGACAAAATCTACAGAAGATAACAAATATGTAGTATTGTAGTATGTAGTATATGCGCGATATGTGATAGAAGCCTAACTGAAACAAAGTTAAACTTACGAAGAAATGGCGAAAGCAATGGTAAAAAAAAATACACGTTTAAAAAAAAATAATTCTAATATCATACAATATAAGTCACTTTGTAGAATGTTTCAAAGGATATATGCGGATGATAATCACAGACAAAATGCATGTTATGTCGTCTGCTATATGGTAACTTAACTTAAAATATGTGACGTAAAATATGGCCTTGCGCCAAAAATCATACCAAAAAAACTACCGATCGTACCTAAATAACGTTGGTACCAAGCCAAAGGGGAAATCGTGATGAATGTAAAACTATTAAATTCAGGACCGATAATAGGAACACATTCGTCTGAAAGCATGCGAAAATTAAGAGTTGTGGTGTAATTATTTCGGGAAAATTCAGATTTAGTCCCATTTCTGGAGTCAAAATCTGAAATTTCGCATCCGCCCAAAATTTGTTAATAGCACTAAGCCAATTTTTAACATATCTCCTTTTATACACCTAGGTAACCAAGGACTTTCATTGCGAAATAGAGGCCGTTATTGAAAATCAAAATCTGCACTTTTGCCGATTTTACATGTGCGCCATTTTGTTCTCTCGGACAAAGACAAAGCCTGATCACAGTCATCAAATACAGTGACAACGACATGCTTTAGGGCACCAACAAATCTCAGTTGTAATGTTAACAATGTTAAGAAATACATGAGTGTAATTATGTATTGTGAAATATATCTTTTGCATGGAAAAAAAGGCAACAACGATGACTGCAGTGAACGCGTTTCTGCTCGCTTCCGGAGAGGCTGCGCAGTACAAGCCGTAGCACTGATGGTTTCGCGCATAGGCTAGAGGGCCGTCCCTCTATTATATGGTCTCTGGTTGTAGGTACAGATAATGGTTCAGTGTGTCATGTGGTGTGTGTTGTAGGTACAGATAATGATTCAGTGTGTCAGGTGGTGTGTGTTGTAGGTACAGATAATGATTCAGTGTGTCAGGTGGTGTATGTTGTAGGTACAGATAATGATTCAGTGTGTCAGGTGGTGTGTGTTGGAGGTAGAGATAATGATTCAGTGTGTCATGTGGTGTATGTTGTTGGTACAGATAATGATTCAGTGTGTCATGTGGCGTGTGTTGTAGGTACAGATAATGATTCAGTGTGTCAGGTGTGTCACATGGCCAGGACTGACCCAACACCCTACATGCCCAGGACTGACCACACATCCCACATGGCCAGGACTGACCACACATCCAACATGGCCAGGACTGACCACACATCCCACATGGCCAGGACTGACCACACATCCAACATGGCCAGGACTGACCACACATCCTACATGGCCAGGACTGACCACACATCCCACATGGCCAGGACTGACCACACATCCCACATGGCCAGGACTGACCACACATCCCACATGGTCAGGACTGACCACACATCCCACATGGCCAGGACTGACCACACATGCAACATGGCCAGGACTGACCACACACTGTGGCAATTGATCATGTCACAAATGGGGGAATTTGACGCAAATATAAATTTTGGAGAAAAAATAGGGAAATTTGCATATATCCTTGGCATAATTCGTGGAAACAGGCCTTTTGAGTTTATTTCGGGACTCTGGATGTTCAAACAACTGTAAGGATTGTTTGAAAAAGACCCTATACATTCTATTTCATTTTGGGTACTTGGACTATTATAGCCATTTTAATCATTTGATATAAACTGTGTTTTTTTTATTTCTTAGTCTAGTCTGATGGAGCATGCAAAGCTCAGTTTTTGACCAAATTTTGTTCTTCAGATCAACACCTCTTACCTCAAACAAGTTTTCATCATTTTTGTTGAAAGTTGTTTGGTCAAGTTTGTTGATGAGCTGACTAACACCTATAACTTTTCCACATGCATTTTTGATTGGCATGCATAATATACAGCGTGTCCGGAAACCTGAGTCAACATCCACCTGCAACACAAAGCATTCTCATCAATATATGCTCATCAATAATGTCACCCACTCCTGCATCATATGCTCAGCTAAATACATCATCAAAAATAACTTATCATTTTTTTATCCTCACTGAATGCTACATTGAATTACATATATCTGTATTGAAACAGCACAGAAACATCATCCGAAACCAGACTCAATGGGGATACAATGACATGTCAGTACCCCATGATAATGATAACAGGTGACTTACATGAGGCCATAATTAATGTGTTACCGGGTCCATTGTTTGTGGGTAACAGGTGACAGATATGAGGCCATAATGTATCACCTGGTCCAATTTTTGAGTGTAACAGGTGACAGATATGAGGCCGTAATGTGTTACCTGATTGACTGTTTGTGGGTAACAGGCGACAGATATGAGGCCAAAATGTGTTACTTGGTCCATTATTTGTGGGTAACAGGTCACAGATGTGAGGCCATAATGTGTTACCTGATCCATGGTTTGTGGGTAACAGGTCACAGATGTGAGGCCGTAATGTGTTACCTGGTCCATTATTTGTGGGTAACAGGTCACAGATGTGAGGCCGTAATGTGTTACCTGATCCATTGTTTGTGGGTAACAGGTGACAGATGTGAGGCCATAATGTGTTACCTGATCGACTGTTTGTGGGTAACAGGTGACAGATATGAGGCCATAATGTGTTATCTGATCCATTGTTTGTGGGTAACAGGTGACAGATATGAGGCCATAATTTGTCACCTGGTCCACTGTTTGTGGGTAACAGGTGACACATATAAGGCCGTAATGTGTTACCTGGTCCATTGTTTGTGGGTAACAGGTGACAGCTATGAGGCCATAATGTGTCACCTGGTCCATTGTTTGTGGGTAACAGGTGACAGATATGAGGCCATAATGTGTTACCTGATCCATGGTTTGTGGGTTACAGGTGACAGATATGAGGCCATAATTTGTCACCTGGTCCATTGTTTGTGGGAAACAGGTGACAGATGTGAGGCCATAATGTGTTACCTGATCCATTGTTTGTGGGTAACAGGTGACAGATATGAGGCCATAATTTGTCACCTGGTCCACTGTTTGTGGGTAACAGGTGACACATATGAGGCCGTAATTTGTTACCTGGTCCATTGTTTGTGGGTAACAGGTGACAGATATGAGGCCATAATGTGTCACCTGGTCCATTGTTTGTGGGTAACAGGTGACAGATATGAGGCCATAATGTGTTACCTGATCCATGGTTTGTGGGTAACAGGTGACAGATATGAGGCCATAATTTGTCACCTGGTCCACTGTTTTTGGGTAACAGGTGACACATATGAGGCCATAATGTGTTACCTGGTCCATTGTTTGTGGGTAACAGGTGACAGATATGAGGCCATAATGTGTCACCTGGTCCATTGTTTGTGGGTAACAGGTGACAGATGTGAGGCCATAATGTGTCACCTGGTCAATTGTTTGTGGGAAACAGGTGACAGATGTGAGGCCATAATGTGTTACCTGATCCATTGTTTGTGGGTAACAGGTGACAGATATGAGACCATAATGTGTCACCTGGTCCACTGTTTGTGGGTAACAGGTGACAGATGTGAGGCCGTAATGTGTTACTTGGTCCACTGTTTGTGGGTAACAGGTGACAGATATGAGGTCATAATGTGTCACCTGGTCAATTGTTTGTGGGTAACAGGTGACAGATATGAGGCCGTAATGTGTTACCTGATCGACTGTTTGTGGGTAACAGGTGACAGATATGAGGCCGTAATGTGTTACCTGATCGACTGTTTGTGGGTAACAGGCGACAGATATGAGGCCAAAATGTGTTACTTGATCCATTGTTTGTGGGTAACAGGTGACAGATGTGAGGCCATAATGTGTTACCTGATCCATGGTTTGTGGGTAACAGGTGACACATATAAGGCCGTAATGTGTTACCTGGTCCATTGTTTGTGGGTAACAGGTGACAGATATGAGGCCATAATGTGTCACCTGATCCATGGTTTGTGGGTAACAGGCAACAGATATGAGGCCGTAATGTGTTACCTGATCGACTGTTTGTGGGTAACAGGCGACAGATATGAGGCCAAAATGTGTTACCTGGTCCATTGTTTGTGGGTAACAGGTGACAGATGTGAGGCCATAATGTGTTACCTGATCCATGGTTTGTGGGTAACAGGTGACAGATGTGAGGCCGTAATGTGTTACCTGGTCCATGGTTTGTGGGTAACAGGTGACAGATATGAGGCCGTAATGTGTTACCTGGTCCATTAGGTCCAACCTACAATGACTGATGGACAACCTACAATGAAGGACAGATGGACAACCTACAATGAAGGACTGATGGACAACCTACAATGAAGGACAGATGGACAACCTACAATGAAGGACAGATGGACAACCTACAATGAAGGACAGATGGACAACCTACAATGAAGGACTGATGGACAACCTACAATGACTGACTTTTCACTAGAGTCATACCATCTGAATATCACTAGGCTTTACTATATGTCAGAGTCATACCATCGGAATATCACTAGGCTTTACTATATGTCAGAGTCATACCATCGGAATATCACTAGGCTTTACTATATGTCAGAGTCATACCATCGGAATATCACTAGGCTTTACTATATGTCAGAGTCATACCATCGGAATATCACTAGGCTTTACTATATGTCAGAGTCATACCATCGGAATATCACTAGGCTTTACTATATGTCAGAGTCATACCCTCAGAATATCCCTAGGCTTAACTATATGTCAGAGTCATGCCATTCTGTGATGGGATATACTTACTGACAGATCAAACTTGTCATCTGAGTATGCATCAGGAATATTCAGAGGCTGTAAGGAAATGAAAATCATTACAGCTTCCTACCAACATATTTTTCTTCTTGCTTTTGCATTTCTCTTTGTTTGGTCTATACATAGTGTTTATCTTTCATTATTTCAGCTAAAATATATATATCACATTTTACCACTCAGTAAGTACTCAACCATGAGTCACAATAACATCCCCTCACCTCCATACATGGTCACTGTCTCCTATAACAATACCCCATCACCTCCATATATGGTCACTGTCTCCTATAACAATAACCCCTCACCTCCATATATGGTCACTGTCGCCTATAACAATACCCCCTCACCTCCATATATGGTCACTGTCTCCTATAACAATACCCCATCACCTCCATACATGGTCACTGTCTCCTATAACAATACCCCATCACCTCCATATATGGTCACTGTCTCCTATAACAATACCCCCTCACCTCCATACATGGTCACTGTCTCTTATAACAATACCCCCTCACCTCCATATATGGTCACTGTCTCCTATAACAATACCCCCTAACCTCCATACATGGTCACTGTCTCCTATAACAATAACCCCTCACCTCCATATAGGGTCACTGTCTCCTATAACAATAACCCCTCACCTCCATATATGGTCACTGTCTCCTATAACAACACCCCCTTACCTCCATATATGGTCACTGTCTCCTATAACAATACCCCCTCACCTCCATACATGGTCACTGTCTCCTATAACAATACCCCCTCATCTCCATATATGGCCACTGTCTCCTATAACAATACCCCCTAACCACCATACATGGTCACTGTCTCCTATAACAGTACCCCCTAACCTCCATATATGGTCACTGTCTCCTATAACAATACCCCCTCACCTCCATACATGGTCACTGTCTCCTATAACAATACCCCCTCACCTCCATATATGGCCACTGTCTCCTATAACAATAACCCCTCACCTCCATAAATGGTCACTGTCGTCTATAACAATACCCCCTCACCTCCATATATGGTCACTGTCTCCTATAACAATACCCCCTCACCTCCATACATGGTCACTGTCTCCTATAACAATACCCCCTCACCTCCATATATGGTCGCTGTCTCCTATAACAATACCCCTTCACCACCATACATGGTCACTGTCTCCTATAACAATACCCCCTCACCTCCATATATGGTCACTGTCGTCTATAACAATACCCCCTCACCTCCAAACATGGTCACTGTCTGCTACAACAACACCCCCTCACCACCATACATTGTCATTGTCTGCTACAACAACACCCCCTTGCCTCCATACATGGTCACTGTCTGCTACAACAACACCCCATGCTACAACATCCCCTCACCTCCATACATGGTCACTGTCTGCTAAAACAACATCCCCTCAACTCCATACATGGTCACTGTCTGCTACAACAACACCCCTCACCTCCATACATGGTCACTGTCTGCTACAACAACACCCCCTCAACTCCATACATGGTCACTGTCTGCTACAACACCCCCTCACCTCCATACATGGTCACTGTCTGCTACAACAACACCCCCTCAACTCCATACATGGTCACTGTCTGCTACAACACCCCCTCAACTCCATACATGGTCACTGTCTGCTACAACAACACCCCCTCACCTCCATACATGGTCACTGTCTGCTACAACAACACCCCCTCACCTCCATACATGGTCACTGTCTGCTACAACACCCCCTTGCCTCCATACATGGTCACTGTCTGCTACAACAACACCCCCTTGCCTCCATACATGGTCACTGTCTGCTACAACAACACCCCCTCGCCTCAATACATGGTCACTGTCTGCATGTGGAGTTCATACTTACCTCATGTGTAGTTCATTCATCTTATAGTGAGTCCACACACTTACCATTTTAGGGAATATTAATATTATTCATAACCATATATATTGTTCATAACCAGCATTATAAGGGATGTTTCTTTGCCTCATGGAACGTGCAATACTTGGACACACATAACATAAGGAACATGTATCTAGCAGCTTAGAGAAAACTTACCTCCCCAGTTGCTGCCACATATCCAGTAATTCCTATATTGATAGGGAACCTTGGCTCCTGTGGACTGAAACAATTTCAAACAGTGGGCTAGCTGCATACTTTGACTTCCTGTAGCTCTCATTAACAGAAGTTGCAGGTTTGTCCATAATAAATATTATAGCTAAAATGGATAGAATTATCATGAAACTGCTTTATGTTGTCAAAAATGAGTGGGCCACTGTAACTTGATAACCTGAAAAATAGAGTTACCCTTATATAATAGCCATGGTTCTACAGTGGGCCACCTGCATGTACTTTTTTTAACTAGTTGCATATACGGATAGCTTACAGAGAAAGTCAAACAACTCCATTCAATGGTAATTTTTAGTCAGAAGGGAAACTATATACATGTCAACATTTCATAATAAAACTGCACATTTGTTGTTAAAAATGAAAGAATATTCCAAATAGTTTCCAAAACATATGACAAAATCATTCAAGTTCAGGCTCAATGATCACAATTTTAAAGGGTTTTTCCTTATGGGGACAGTTTGTTAGATGAAGCAGCTTCTTTTTTTTTGGCAACCTTGTGAAATTAAAGGCAAGACACTGTACATCAATAGAATAAAAAAGTCGAGTAGCACTGGTGATGCTTAATGAACATACAACAGTGCTCATTTACTTTCCAAACATCAAGCTAAACAAAAGTACCATCATTTGTAAGTTGACATGACCTATTTGATGCTGTTATTCAATCACATCATTCCTTCATACTATATCAATGAATTATAACATACTGTTTCTAAATTTCAAAAGAGGACTGGTTTAATTAATATCAGGACATATTTTAGGCCAATAGCACTCACTTGGTGACTCACTCATTTTAAGATTTACAGTGTTCCTGGATTTTCATTCTTGACCTGATCTTGAGTACACTCTGTCAACACTCACCCCTCTCTGTTATAGGTGTCATCATTGTCAAAGTCACTAGCTTGGAGATCAAAGACTTGAGAAAATATACCCTGTAACAGAGAGCACATCAACAAATCACCTTCCACATCAGCTGCAGGGAAGTTGTTCCTCATATGGCACCAAGAACCTCTGTCATGGATTTAATGCTACCAAGATTGAACATAGTGGTGATCTCTGTGTTGAAACTATCCCTGAAGTTCATGGTCCCCAATATGGCTTTACATGGACCCCAGACACTGACATGACGACAACGTTATGCTGACATCATCCCAAACAGACCCTCAGACAATATACATGTCACAAGGTGTGACAGTGATGATAAGTATGGTTATTGCAAGAGCATTAGGTGTGTGACAGTGATGCAACATGCACTGAACCATCAGAGTGACAACAATGCTGCTGGTGTCATGCATCAAGGAAAACATAGTAGCCATCCACTCTCACATTCGTTTTTGTCTCAGGACTTGATGCTGCAAGAGGAAATCAATCCCAACTCCCTGTCATATGATAAACATAAGCTAATAGAGTGAGTTATCCAAACTAACCTCACAATAACCAAACCCTTAAAGGCACATACCTTGCAGAGGTGAAATGGCCAAACAAGACTGGATGCTGGGGTGCAACCATCTTGGATGCTGACATGTAACCCACAGATGCAAGTCACCATGTATCTTCCTCTGCATAACACATTATCATACCTCCATGTCAGAATGTTGAGATCTGATTGGTTCACGTGATCTTGATAAAATACTATGTATCACGTCTGGGAGGGAAATAAATTTCTAAGCGGGAGAATTAATCCCTTATACCCCACCACGAAGAAAACAGGCTGCATGAGCATTTCCGTTTGAGAGAATAAGTCCCTTATGTCATGTGACATAGTACAAATTAGTTAGTGCATAGAAAATACTACACTCATGAGTGTGGTATTTTAGTTATTACCCATGTTAAATATGTATGTAAGTGTATATACATAACTTTTGTTCATTGACAGACCAACTGAAACCAGTTTCACAATCTGGTTGTGCATGAATATTGATATGTCCCCAAATATGGGCATTGTTGACATTCCTATGCATACACATTAACAACATGCGCCTGCAGTTGTGTTTGCAAACATAACAGCACCGATGCTCAAGATCCTTTTAGAAGAATTTCTTCAACTTATGAGAATTCAAGGGCCATGTTGTTAGTATGCAGGACACCTATAAGAAAATTTAAAAAGTCACATTAGCGCCGCGCTTTGAATATACGACCAACAGTCAGTTACTCGCACTGCTGGGGTCCCCTCTGTGCATTCAAAATGGTTTGGTTTCCTTGATCTATCAGCTGAACTTATATCATGTCCGTACCATTTTGGAAGAGGGAAATCAGAGTGTTCGCCAAAGACATTCATGTTTACTGTACCACCCTTTACTGAAGACGTGAAAATCAACACGCTCAAGTCTGCTTGCATGTCAGTGACAGCTTCAAACGAAGGGCAAGGTCACCACCGGAATAAGAAAAGACAACCATGATCTATTCAGCGTTTTACGCTTGAGATAGGGAATGTTATTGTTCACCTTTGGGATATATTCAGCCACATAATCAGAAATCAGGCACACTTCTACAGAGTTTTCAAATGATTTGTATCGGAAATATTCACTTTTAGTGATCTGGTCGTGCAGTCGTGAACAAACAACTCCCGAAACAGTATCCCGAAACAGTGCCAAAAAATACGCTTCGAAGAGGACACTGATGGCACAACCGGATCATCCAAAGTAAGTCTTGATATCTGTCCAGATAGTTTAAACTGACTTCATTTCACCACACTTATCCTTTTACGTTAAATCAAATTGGAAGTTGCGAAAGTAGTCACGCTCATTGGACCCTTGAACGGTAGTCGTACATTGTAAATGGATATAGCACGAATATATAATGTCTGTGGTTGTTATTGTCTTTCCGTACAAGTACATCAAGGAAGGGTAGTTGATGATTAGATTCTTCCTCCATGGTGAACTGCATACATGGGTTTTGGGAGTTCAGGTGGTCCAGTAGGGTTCTGGGGCCATTGTTGGGATGTAGGATGACAAAGGTGTCATCTACTTTGTGGAACCAAGAGAGGCGGGTTATTTGGGATGTTTCCCTGGCCCAGTCAGTCATAATCCTTTTGTTTATACTACTGGTTTCACTGGTTAAGATGTTTACCCTTTTGTGTAAAAAACAGGCTTCTCCACTCCAGTGTAACTACATCCTAATCTACTCAACTGTTTAAACACTGCTTCATACCTGTAAATGGTGTATTCTCAGGAAGATGATCCCTCGCTACAACGCTACCTTCGGGGTCCAAATAATTGATGAGCGTTATAGATGATCAGCAGTTTAATGAAGGTTGAGTCGTAGGTGGTAGATGACCAACGAAACAGTATACATGTACATGCTCTGCCTACCTAACACGATCTACGTTGCACGTTTCTGAGTTTCCAAAATGATTACAATAGGAGTTATCTATGATTCATAGTGTAAAAAAAGATTTATCAAGTATTAACATGCGCTTTAAAAAAACAACACATCGTATCCTTTCAGGTGAATAAGCAGGTAGATCTATAAAAAACTTAGTCAATAAAAGTATGAAATTTGATATAAAACATCATCAGACATGATGATTTACCGTTTAAAATGTATTTCCTGCTCTAAAAGGCATTGTTTTATATGCAGAGATTAAGATTACTGTGTGTATTTTCTCGTAAACTAAGACGGAAAAAGCAATCAGCTGTGCACATGTTTCCTCCCAATCTACCGGTGATACAGTTAAAACATACCCAGTGATACCACTTTAAAGAATTTTGATGCAATTGTCTGAAAAAAATATTATTTTATCAGGAATAATATATTCCAATATCGTGTTATTTTAGTTGCAGCTTCCACCATATATACTTAAAATTATAAGAACCACAAGCATAGCACTTTGGTACAGATTGTATGCAGGATATTTTTTGACGTAAGGAACGATTTTGACCAGTCACCGTAGGGACTTCCCGTGCTACATGTATTTCGACTGCGAAAAGGTTATGTTGACATTTAATAGTCAAACTGCCTCTAATATGACTTTTAGCGAGTCATGGGGTATGGCATTTATGATATTTGTATCCATTCTCCTGCAACTAAAGTTCGTTTCAAGGTGTCAATAGCGGTAATCTGACCGTGGTTGCTGTTAATAACGTTGAGTTGTGCGATCTACCGATCAATTTTGAGAGCCATGCTTTACCGTGCGCTATAACCGAGTTAGCGCTATATTGAAGGGCGCAATAACGGGGGAACACTGTATCGCAGAAAGGCGGCATGTGGTGTGCTTTCAAGTTTGTTGACACGTGCTTTCTCCGCACTTTCTTCCTTTGAATTTCCTTAATGCCAGTCAACAGAATAAACACAAAAAGTATCTGTTGTTCTTAGGAAAACACTATGTATTGTTTTTAGTGGAAGTACTCTACTCAGCGCTAATAAGCTATTTGGTGTGTGACTGGATTAATGTAAGGTTGGATTAAGGTGAGGATTCTCCGTAAATTGTTTGATAGGCATTACTTAGAAGTTGACAGTGACAAGGTATTCTCCTGTAAACCTGTCAGAAGACATTTTCTTTATATATAAATCCATTGATGCTTGAGAGGAGGGGGGTGTCGCATTCATATTGAGTCGCATTTATGGCTGGGGGTCAGCGGTCGCATTGTTTTGGAGATGCATTAATTTCATGATTTACAGTATCTAGTATTGCATTGACTAGGCCAAAAATAATCATTCATGGAGACTGGAGAATGTTTCGGACCTTTTAATAAATTCATGTAAATTAAAGAAATGTTGACTGATAAATTCATGGACATTATGGTATAACACATGATACATATCACCTAGTCAGTGGTATGTGAACACATTGAATGACAGATCTGCAAACTGAAGACGTATCCTTTCTACATCGTACTATGTAATTGGCAGCAAGGTTTGTTAATTCTACCACTGATACATATGTAATGTGACATAATAAACATGGATGTAAACATGGACATCAAACATGGAGGGTTAATGTTTATTTGGTCGACATGATCATAAAATTGACAGATAAATGTTTCGAGACTTGTTAAGTCTTGTTGACAAATGGATTTCGTCTTCTCTTTGGCTTCAGTGCAAGGGTGTGTTACAGATGTTATTGTACCTTCATCAAGCACATGAACAAATCTTCAAGTCACCCTCAAGTAAAAAACTGAGTAAGAGTAGATCCAGTTGACATGCAGTCATGAGTCGCTAGTCGCTAGTCACTAGTCACACCACAGGATCCATTTGACATGCAATCATGAGTCACTAGTCGCTAGTCACTAGTCGCACCACAGGATCCAGTTGACATGCAATCATGAGTCGCTAGTCGCTAGTCAATAGTCACACCACAGGATCCAGTTGACATGCAATCATGAGTCACTAGTCGCTAGTCACTAGTCGCACCACAGGATCCAGTTGACATGCAATCATGAGTCGCTAGTCACTAGTCACATCACAGGATCCAGTTGACATGCAATCATGAGTCACTAGTCACTAGTCGCACCACAGGATCCAGTTGACATGCAATCATGAGTCACTAGTCGCTAGTCACTAGTCGCACCACAGGATCCAGTTGACCTGCAATCATGAGTCGCTGGTCACTAGTCGCACCACAGGATCCAGTTGACATGCAGTCATGAGTCGCTAGTCGCTAGTCACTAGTCACACCACAGGATCCATTTGGCATGCAATCATGAGTCACTAGTCGCTAGTCACTAGTCGCACCACAGGATCCAGTTGACATGCAATCATGAGTCGCTAGTCGCTAGTCACTAGTCGCACCACAGGATCCAGTTGACATGCAATCATGAGTCGCTAGTCGCTAGTCACTAGTCGCACCACAGGATCCAGTTGACATGCAATCATGAGTCGCTAGTCACTTGTCGCACCACAGGATCCAGTTGACATGCAATCATGAGTCACTAGTCGCTAGTCACTAGTCGCACCACAGGATCCAGTTGACATGCAATCATGAGTCACTAGT